TTGTACTAAGATAAGAGAAACATCACTGCCTGCTTATGGCTCTGCTCAGAACTGGCATGATGCCCCTGCAGGCTGAAAAAAAGTTTCCCATGTCTGATATATATGAGAGCCAGTGTGATGTAATGCTTTAATGGTTAGTATATTGGACTAAGACCCTGGGAAAATGAGGTTCCATCCCCCACTCATTCAAGAAGCTTGTTGCATGGTCTTTGGCCAGTAATTCTGTCTCTACATAAACTATCTTACAAGGTAGTTGTGATGATAAAATTGAGGTAGGTACGGAATCATGTACACAACATTGAGCATGATGGAGGAAAAGTGGAATATAAATGTAATAAACACACACACACACACACACACACACAACATCTCAATGTGACACTCCATGCATCTGATGAGGTAGATTCTTGTCCTTGAAAGCTTATGCCATAATAAATCTGCTAGCTATTAAGAGGCTACAAGACTCTCTGTTGCTTTTGCTACAACAGATTAACACAGCTAGTACTCTGGAAGTTTTTTCTTTTGTTTAAGTCCTCATAGCCCCCTAAGGTTGCTTATGAGTAACAAAATCTTATGCATAACCTTATAAGTAACAAAAACAACAACTATTTATGGTATTTAAGGTTAACTTACAAAAACTCATCATTTATGAATGAGATATTAATATTTTACATCCATTGTTGGGTTTCATCTGGCACCAACAACATATCCAAACCATTGGGAACCAATGTATGAAACATCTCATATTTGACTTAAGTTGACAAGTCCGGGGAGAAACCATTGAGAAACAAAAGCTCAAAAGGCTTTTATTAAAAAATCAATCTGAAAATATAAATGATCAGCTGCAGAGGCTCAGAAGCTCAGCAGGCATGCCAGGTATCTGCAGGCATCTGACCCCCTCCCAGGGTGACCCAATTAGCCAAACTGTTATTTTTCAGGAAGCTGCTGTTTTCCTCCGGTTCTTTAGATGAACAAATGTCCTACTTTGTGACGGTGGCTTTCCTTTGGAAAGCAACATACTCTGTCCATTAGGAAAGCAGGAAATGTTCAGCAGCAGGCATCTGTGCAGTGGAGGTGGGTACACTGTTGAAAACATTTGGGCAATGTTGTTTTCATCCATTTCTAGAACTGGTTACTGTTTTATATAATCCACACGATCAATTTGGTCTTATTTAGACAATGCTCTCCTAGTGCCCTCAGAGATGTACTCAGAGAGCATGTCTTATAAAATGGAATGTCCATCGATTACACCAGCAGCTCCTTAGCAACAATTTCCACAATTGCAGACGCATATTTTTCTACTGCATGAAGCTGTAGCCATGGAATACATCCTTGCTGTATCTGACCAAAGGCCCAACTATCCTAGTATTCTATTACAAAAGTGGCCCATCGGATGTCCTTAGGGTAGACATAGGGAAGCTCTCCCCTGTCAAGAACCAAATTCCCTTGGTTCAGGGCCAAAACATACACACCATTCATTCACAACTACTTTTTTCTCACATATGTGGGATATATCCAGCCTCATATAATCACATGCTTAACTCTAATTAATGCATGAAGGAGTTAAGGCCATAGAGTAAGCTGTCCTGCCAGGCTTTGTGTCCACTCCACCTGGGAAGGAAGGCCATTTGGCCTGGGGTCTCAAGCTCAAAGGGGCCCTCACATTTAGATACTAATTGGATCCGGGGCTAATTTAACTTGGAGTTTAATGCTTCAGCCCTGGTACCTATGGAATAATATTGAAAAAGGGCAGGTGTGAATGTGTTCAGTGTGTTTTTCTAACACCAATGAGTAACATAACAAGCCCCACCACAGAGTTTCCACAGAGGGCTTCACTCAAGCAGGTTTGAACATGTCCTTTCATTGCATCTCTCTGGGTTGCATCTCATCTGGGTTTTGCCTTACCCTGTATCCCCTTTAGGTGAGTCATCTATGACTATCTGTGTGGTACTCTTCCAGTTATCTGCAAATCATCTGCTTGTGCCAAGAGCTGACTCTCAGTATTGGCAGTGAGGGAGCTGCTCTGCTCCCCACAAAACCATGACCTAGAATCAGGTTGTCTTGACAGTATTAACAAACACAGTGATTAGTAAACTACCTTGTAGAATAGATTCTTCCATGTCCCTTTAGCCTCAAATACACTCAGTGATGAAAACAGATGACACGCTATTTTGGAAGTCCCATAACCAAGGAAAGTCAGACATAATTTAATGGACTGTCCAGTGCCATACGTATAACATTATGGAGACTGTCTATATGTTCTGAAAAGGAGGAATGGTTGGTCTGAACATATTGCAGTTGCTGATGTCTTCAGTTTCAAAATATTTGTGTATTGGTGGTGAGAGGAAAGGAGGGCTTCTGTACATGCAAATGACCTCTGGCAAGAGTGATCACTTCTTCCACTGGTAGCCTGATGAGCCGGCAGAAGGAAGAAGGCAAAAAAAAGAGAGAGAGGAAAAGTAGAAACTTGTAGAAAGTTGGAGGGAGGGGGGAGAGGAGATAGCAAAAAGAGGGTTGCAGAGAGAAAGAGAGAGAAAATGACCCACCACCACAAACAAATTACCACTGAGGAAATGCAGCCCATAATAGAAAAAAAGGTTACTCACTCCATCTCTAAATAATAGTACATTACATTGCCCTGCTTCTCTCTCCAAAAATAAAAGTTATATACAGTGGTACCTTGGTTTACGAACTTAATCCGTTCTGGAAGTCCATTCTTAAACAGAAACCGTTCTTAAACCGAGGCGCGCTTTCCCTAATGAGGCCTCCTGCCACTGGTGCCCTTTCACCGTTCGGCTTCTGTTCTTAGACTGAGGTAAATTTTGCAAACTGGAACACTACTTCCGGTTTTGCGGAGTTTGTAAACCAAATAGTTTGCAAACAGGGCTATTCTTAAACCAAGGTGCCACTGTACTCATTTTGCCCCATGGTACACAGCTAGACTCTCCATAAGTTGCCAGATGCCAAACCCACCTACAGTGGTACCTCGGGTTACATACGCTTCAGGTTACATACGCTTCAGGTTACACACTCCACTAACCCAGAAATAGTGCTTCAGGTTAAGAACTTTGCTTCAGGATAAGAACAGAAATCGGGCTCCAGCGGGCTGGCAGCAGCAGGAGGCCCCATTAGCTAAAGTGGTGCTTCAGGTTAAGAACAGTTTCAGGTTAAGAACGGACCTCCGGAACGAATTAAGTACTTAACCCGAGGTACCACTGTATAGTTTTATGCAGACACTTCCTCTAAGGGCTCATCCACACTCCCACTTGACCCAGGCCCAAGCAGAACTTGCCTGAGGCTCAGGCCAGGAGTCTTGTTATAATAAAGTTATAAACTCAAACTAAAACGCAGCTGGTCTTTCACTACCCACCCCTCAAGCTGGCTTAGCCCTCTGAGGCCCAGAGCAAATGTACCTGGCTACCCCCTGCCCTGTGCATAGGCCTGCCCATGCCTAGAAAGCACATGCCCTCATTATCGGTTTTTTTGCTTGTTGGGGGGATATAAGCGTTGATAATTAGTAAACTGCAGTTTACCCAGGATATGAGTAGGGCCATTGCTAGGTGCTCTAGGGGGGACAGTTCCTTACAGGTGGCATTTAGGCAGAGTGAAATTAGGATGCATAACCCCCCCCCCTTGAGCCTCCCTGGTCCTCTGCCTGCAACTGCTCTCACTGCATATGTATAGTATCCTTCCAGTGACAGATTTTCAGCCGCCCACGTCTCCTGGAGAGCGATGATATTAAAGTTTTGACGGTAGAAGGGAATGTCTGTAGAATGGGGGAGGCATCTGGACCAGCCGGCAACATTCCAGGAGATGATGTTTAGGGCAGTACGGTAGTTGATTCTTGGGTTTTTAGATTCCAGGCACTCATAGCTGTTTTCTGCTGCTGATTCCTCGCGTCCTTTGGGTTTGGCTTGATTGAGCCGCGATGCAGAGGAATGGGGGAGCCTTTTGAGGGAAAGACTAATTTGGGGGTATTAATTTGTCTGTCCAGGCAGTCACCCACTAAGACCTTATTTCATTCTAGAAAGCACATCGGAGCAAATGTCAATGCGCACAAATAAACTAGTTAGGTAAATATTACTATTCTGCAAAACCTCAGTATTAATTAAAAAACCAAACAAACTGGAAATGAATACCATCCCCTGCTAAAAATAACAAGCCTCCACTTTACCAACTGGTAGTATCTGCTCTTGCACACTTTCTGGGATGTTATATTAAAGGTACACCCACTAAGGTACAGAAATAGTTGTGCACATGCCCAGAACAGTAAAGTGAGTAGAGAGCGGGGGAAGAATGACACAAAACCACAGTACAGATACATTCTGCCAAGCTCCACCCGCTGATGTAGACAGTAATCAGTGGAATAGCGATTGATATCTATCAATGAAAAAATGGGAATGTGTGGAAGTCCCATACAGAAAAATTGGACCTTTATGACATGTTTGCAGTATAAGGCCCCCATGTCAAAGCACCCAGGCTGCTGCAAAATTGTCTATTTCTGGAAGCACCTTGATGAGGAATCCCTCCAATAAATTAGCGATATTGATCATAGTATCATTCAACAGAAAAGAAATTTCTCAATCCAGATATAATGGCAAGTCTGTTTGCCTGAGAATCTTTATACAATATTATCCTAGTAATAGCTGGTTTTCCCAAAATAGCAAATTAGAGGGAAGATAAATCAATATAGATGTGCTTTTGTGGGTATTGATTTTCTCACCCATAGTCAGCCAGGTGGCTATCATACCTAATAGTCATATAAAGAGTGGGGCAATCTCCAAATATTTGGCTTAGATAATTATTCATAAGAATGGGCCTTTTTGCCTGAAAGTTAAAGTGGGAATCTGGTGTAGCTGATACTGATCCTGTATACTATAAGCTATGTATCATATATAGAATGAGCTGATTTTGCTCTATGGCTGAAAGTGTTTTTTATGCTATGAAATAGAAAAAGTTGGCATTTATCTAAACAGTTTGTGTTCCTCTCCATATTGCAGACAGGTCCTGGCTGTCTTAGAACAGACATGAGATTGATAAAAGTATGAAGCTGGCAAACTCCAAATGCTTCTTCCTTCAAACAGCAAAATGGATGTGCTAAATGGAGGTCAGGCTCCAGAAGAAAAGTCATTTCATTCATTTTAAATGGCCATAATATGGGAATACATTTAACAAAATGCTGAAGTATATTAGGCTACAAGAAAGTATTAATTCTTGTCCATTTTAGTTTCTAGGACAATGCAGTTTTCTGTTATTATTTTTCTTTACACTAGAGCAGGTTGAAAGTAGGCTTGTCAATTTATGATTCTTTTCCTTCTTCTTTATTGGATTAATCATCTGGCTTTAACACACCCTCCAATATTTCATAGATGAACATAAGGACACATATTCATAATACCTATTTTTACTGCAAGAATCCCAGCCTGAACCCCACTGCCTGCCTCCAACACAGCAAGTTTATTCATTTTAAAGCGAGCAGTATTCATGGTTTGCCTCTGCTTTTTACCCTCATAACAACCCTGTGAGGAAGGCTGGGCTGACTCTAGCCCAAGGTCACCCAGAGTTCTTTGTGGCCTGAGTGGAAATTTGAACCTGGGTTTTCCCAGTCCCAGTCCAGTACTCTAACCACTACACCACATTGGTTCTTTCTCAGCCTAATCTACCACACAGAACTGTTGGGAAGATAAAATGGAGGACCAGGGAGAAGAACTATTTATGCTTTCTCAAACGTATTGAAATAAAAATATACTCTTCACTACTGCATGATAATATGCCCCCAGTTTCTTTAAAGAAATGGAATAGTCACAGATGGGAGGGTGTTGTGCTAAGTGGTCATGATTAAAACAAGAAGAGTGAGGCTGTCACACTAAGGTGAACTGTACTGGTAAATTATTTCCTCCTCCATAACAATACTTATACTTACCATTTACTACTTAAGGAGCTGCCAAAATATTATTGAGCCTCATTATAATATTGGTTGTGCAACACCATTATACAGGGTCAAATCAGGAGGTATGATTAAAGGGCAGCCATTGTTTAGATGATTATTATGCTTTTACCATTATTTGCCCCAGACTGGACAGAAGGTCAATCTAGCAGCTTGGAAGTTCTTGGTGATGGGCTGTTCAGAGCAGGAAAATTTGCCTTATACCATGTGTGAGGATTGGCTTGTAAGTACTGCAATAACTTAAGGTGGACCAGAAACTCCAGGACATTTTACAAGCTGCACTTCAAACACTATTTGAATATAGCTACCATTGAAATTGGATGCAATAACTGTGCACCATCTGTCAATATACCAAGTCAAATTTTAGCAGTCTGTCATCTTTTTCTACCAAGCAGGGTTTTACATCCAATAGCAGGGCTACATTGAATAAATACAAAATACTGGTAATAAAGTTGTTCACTGCCTGTTTATGTTTGTGCAATGATTCAATTTACTTTTCTTCCTTTCCTCTTCCTCTTTTCCTAGGATCCAGCATTTACTCTCCAGATGTGTAAAGGCAAATGTATTGAACTAATTCCAGTTTGATTCAAAGACGAAAGCTATTTCCAGAAGAATGTCATGATCACTGCTTTTTTTCTGGGGGTATGCAGGGGTACGCATACCCCTAAACATTTTTTGAATCTAAATTTGGCCTCATTGAGGGACAGTATTTCAATATGAGTAGGAAAATGAGAGTACCCCTAAACATTTTTTTAGGAAAAAAAGCACTGGTCGTGATAAAGACCCCCCCCCGTGGGCATTTGACATATTAACATCTACACATTCATGTTTTTTCTGTCATGGATATTCATTGCCATTCTGCTGCTTACCATTCACATCAGTTGGTGAAGCTTGGTGGAAAGCAACTGTGCTGTGTTTCCATGTCTCCTTTCAGTCAGTTCCTCCACACACACACCTTTTCTGTTCTGGGCATGCATGCAAGTACTTTTGTACCTGTGTTTATGCACCTTTAAAAACAGCAACAATTATTATAGGAAACGTGCAAGAGCAAATGTTACCAGCCTCAGTTGTCATGCTCCGCAAAAATGGGAGGCTTGTGGGGTTTTTTGTGGAGAGCAGTATCAATTTCTATTGGTTTTTCTTTTAAAATTTTAATATTGAGGTCTTATGGAAGAGTGATATTTAGCTGACATGTACAATAATGATAAAGAGGCCTTGGGCACGATCATATTCATGAGCATCATCTCAATGCATGTACTGCGGTTACAGTCTCTGAGGTAATCCCTTTCATGTGCTGAGACAATTCCTCCAAACTGGATTGTTGAAATTTGGGTGTACCTTCAGCATGCAAACTGATGAAAAAATGCACACTCCTATGGTTTGGCCTGAAAACCGAATGGTATATAATCTTGATAGATAGATAAATAAATAATACATAATACTTTATGTGTGCTACGTTTAGCGTTCTTTTAAGATAGCTTTGAATTCCTGTTTTACTAGAAACATTTCCATGGCAACCAAGTTCATCATTGTACTGTGTCACAGTATTGTGGGAACCAGTATTAACTTATCCATTTACAACTACAAAAATCCCAATAAAGCCAACTCTGCATTGACTTGAATAAGTTACCAGAGCATGGAATACCATGGCCAAGTCATCTCTGTCCCAAATGGTCCAGAGCTGGAAACAGGCATTCCTTGCCAGCAAGACTTTTCAGGATTCAGTTTCAATTTATTAGTCCACATCCAGCCCATTACTCTTTCAGACACCTGTGTAGCACCTCAGTTGCCTCTTCTGATTCAGGTGGAATAGAGAGAGAGAGCAGGGTGTCATTTGCATATTGGTGATGCTACACTCTAAAAGTCCTGGTGACAGCTCCCGTGGATTCATATAGAGGTTACGACAGTTAAAACTCCATGCTTTGCAGATAATTCACACATTTGGCTGATAGTCATCAGGTGATTTAGGAGCTAGCTATTTGATTTTATGAGTGAATGATCCCATAGTGACTACACAATGATTACATATTGTATGAACCCAGATTCTAGTTCTCTGTGCACTGGACAGACCTGGCTCCCACTTAAGTGGTTTAGTTTTAAACAGCAGGAAACATTCCACCCCCCACCCCCACCCCGAGTTTTTGTGTGATATGATCATGTAGATAACAAAACCACCTCTCACTCTGATCTATGGTGAGAACTGCAAAGGACAAAGCATTCATAACTAGGTGTTTATATGCTGCATGTTATGAGTGAGAGGTTGCTGCGAAGAGTTTTGCACCTGCAAAGAGTTTGGGCAAAGCTAAAAGGCTCTATTCATTGTTCAGTGGTGGACCAAATAGCAGCCAGATTAGGTCCACTGGGCCTCTAGTTGCTACCAGTAATAAGGAAAAAGACTGCTGTAGTGATCCCAAATGTCAGCAATTCAATTTAAAATTAACTGAAATTTTAGCAAGAATTTGTAGGGGCCAATGAGACCTGCCAAGCTGTTGTCCCCACTTATGTTGTCTAAAAGCTGCATAGGTTTTCTTGAAGTTCAGAGAGTACTAGGTTCTCTACAATTTCAGTTTGTTCTTGTTTTTTTGAAAGATTAAATTGCAGCGATAATGAAACTAATAGAATTGGGAACTTGCCAGAGAGTAGCCAAAAGAAATATGAGAAGCTTTATGCCCTTTGGGTGGAAGTTTCTTCTTAGGAGATCCTTGTTCCTTGCTATAGCTGTCAGGCAGGATAATGTGGCTGTAAATTCCATTTGACAGCAAACATATCACAGCAACAGCCTCACTTGAAAATGACAAAAAATCAGACAGTGGAGAAGGAGAAGTGACTGCCAAACATTCAAAGCACACCAGGGAAAACAAATTCACACAAATAGGTTAAGCCTAGACTTTTCTGTCAGCTGCCCACTGATATTTGGGGGCTGTTAATATCCTCAACTCTTAATCCAAAAAAATTTTTGCAAGTACTCAATTCTCTCACTGTCTGTTCACTGAATCTAATTCACTCACCCCCCTACCCAGGAGTAGCTGGGTAGTGTAAACCTTACCCACATAGAAAATCATGAAGTGGTAGAAACTTCTGCAGAAGTTTCTGAATATGGGTAGTCATTACAAAATTGAATACACTCTCTCTCTCTCTCTCTCTCTCTCTCTCTCTCTCTGTGTGTGTGTGTGTGTGTGTACGTGCACATGTGTGCAATATAAACATATATAGCCATCCATTTGGAGAAAATGTCATGTATGGAGCAGCCTTCAAATCTAACTGAGATCGTGTTCAATTTTGTTTTCCAGATAAATGTTTATTAGTTTCCAAAAACAAAGATAATAAAAAAGAAATAAAAGCAATACGAACATACACCACCACGAGAAAAACGGAAACGTCCACCTGCAACCAGCAAAAAGAAAAGAAAAACAACACAGCAAAGTACAAAAGAAATATACTATATACACAATAAAAAATTTTCACCTACAATTTTACATTGTCGTCTCTTTTTCTGGACTTCCCTCAGCTCGTCCGTAAATCTTCCGTAATAAAAATCATAGTTACGCATTTCCTAGTTTGTATTGTCGTTATACATTTCTTTTCTTCTATTTTTATTAAACAATAACTCTTAGTCTCTTCACAGTGCTTCTCTGAATCCCCTTAACGTTATTTGTCCTTTGCTAATATGTTCCAGGTAATCTACATATTTTCCCCATTCCTTAATGAACTTTTGGTCTCTTAGGTATCTTATCTTTCCCGTCATCCTATCCAAGTCCGCGTAGTCTAGTAGTTTTACTCTCCACTCCTCTATTGTTGGCATCTCCTGTTTTTTCCACATTTTGGCTAGAGTTATCCTTGCTGCTGTGACTGCGTAATATACAAATTTATGGTCTTTCTTTTTTATTTCATTCCCTAATATCCCTAACAGGAATATTTCAGGTTTTTTTATAAACGTATATTTTAGCACTTTCTTTAACTCCGTGTATACTTTTTCCCAAAATTCTCTCACTTTCCCACATTCCCACCACATGTGGTAAAAGGAGCCCTCCTTCTCTTGGCATTTCCAACATTTGCTGTCAACTTTATACATTTTCGATAATTTCACTGGTGTTATGTACCACCTGTGAAACATCTTCATGACATTCTCTTTTACCGTTATACACGCCGTAAAATCCAAACCATCCTTCCACAGATTCTCCCAGTCCTCGAATTGTATTTCGTGACCCACATCTTTAGCCCAGCGGTTCATCACTGTTTTGACCTCCTCATCTCCCAGATTCCAATCCAACAACATCTTATATATTTTAGATATTGTTTTCACATCATTGTTTATAATCTCCGTCTGAAATTTTGAGTCTTTATCTGCGTATCCTTTCTCTTTCATCTCTTTTCTGAACATCTCATTAACTTGGAGGTGCTGAAGCCAATCATATACATACTCTTTAATCTGCTCATATTCAATTTTGAACCAGAACTTTCTGGAATGTATCAATCCAGTCTTCAGGTCTGGATTATATTTATTATCATATTTTATAATATAATAAGTTGATCCATATGTTATAAAGTTGAGCATCAGTTAAACCTTCCCTGATGTGCTGGTTTATTACATAAGGATTTAAAAATAAATGTGGGAAAGCATTCAAAAATAAAAGGTCACAACCCACACAATACATTAGAAGCACTACACTTTAACATGGCTTCCCCAAAGAATTATGGGGACTGTAGTTTGTTGAGGGTGATAAGAGTTGTTGGGAGACCCTGCAGAGATACCATTCCCAATAGTGTAAGAAATTCTATCCACCTACTGTCTAAAATAGGGACGCAGGTGGGGCTGTGGGTTAAACCACAGAGCATAGGGCTTGCCAATCAGAAGGTCAGCGGTTCGAATCCTCGCGATGGGGTGAGTTCCCGTTGCTTGATTCCTGCTCCTGCCAACCTAGCAGTTTGAAAGCATGTCAAACTGCAAGTAGATAAATAGGTACCGCTCCAGCGGGAAGGTAAATGGCGTTTCCGTGTGCTGCTCTGGTTCACCAGAAGGGCTTAGTCATGCTGGCCACATGACCCGGAAGCTGTATGCCGGCTCCCTCGGCCAATAAAGCGAGATGAGTGCCGCAACCCCAGAGTTGATCACAACTGGACCTAATGGTCAGGGGTCCCTATACCTTTACCATCTAAAATAGTTTTGAACTGTACCACCTCCATCTTTATAATGTAAATATGTCTCTGAATAGTGCTCAGTACCACTTCGCACACTGTACAAAAGCAAACATGTATTTGCCATGGTGTTACAAGGCTGAGCCATAAAAAAGAAGCCAAAGGTGAGCCAGAGTCAGGGCTGAGGGGCACACAGAAACATACCAGAGCCAGGAATACCAATATTGGACAATCTAAAGAAGAATACTTGTATAGCCCTTGCTGTTGCCCAGGATGGACCAGTAGCCAGGTTGGATGAATGAGGTCTGTCCAGAATATTATTTCTCAAATTTCAAAATGCAGTTCTCATAGTTCACCATGCCAGTTCCCATTTCCCAGTTCTGTAGCTCCTGTCATTTTTGTACAGGTAGTGAGGTTCTACAGTGTATGCATGAATGTTGTAGGTGTACATGTAAAATATTTATGTCTACAGGTTAAAAGAAAACACAAGAAAGTAGTTTGTGAAGTAAATCTCAGGGTGTTCCAGAACTCTTTCCTCTCTCCTTCAAAATTCAAGTGGCCCACAATTAAAACTCAAAAGGAGTTTACAGCAGATCACCCAGTTTTTATGGATTATTTTCATTACCTTATTGAGAGGATGCCTGCTGTTGCCTTATATTGTGGTTGTGTGTGGAGGTTTCGGTTGTTGGTTTGTGTGTGTTTGTGGTTATTGTTTTGTTAAGATAGATCAGGTGTGGTCCAATCTTTTTTGCCTGGTCCCTTAACAAGGTAGTAACTTAAAACTCTTTGTCTGTGAAAAAATCTCAGGATTTTCAACATGCCATATCAGTATTCACAGCAAATACATAATTATGAATCACAGTTCCAACACTCTTCGAGATGTAACAAAGTGTCCATTGTCAACTTGAAAAGGAAGTCAGGCTAAAAAAAGATAGCCTATTGATATTTTTAGTAAGGCTGCCAATTGATTAAAGATTGTTTTAGTTGATTTACTGTCTGCTTTGACTGATTAATGAATCAGTTAAAGTATCTGTAGGGTGGGAGTTCTCACATGCTGTCACAACACAAGCCTTCCTAAATCAAGAGAGCAGGGACAATGATGGTAGCTGGTGTCTCCTCAATGAAGACTTGCTGCACCAGCACATAGGTGCTTTGAATGGATAATTTATCAACTCCTGCAGCAGGACAACATTTGAAACCAAATGTTACATTGTGAGACAAGTCTGGGTTGCATTGCTAGGAAATACACAAGTGTTTGAAGCTGAGATGCAAGGCCAAACAAAAGGCAGTTTGTCTAGCTGCTGTTGTGTTCTGATGACGTGGACTTCCCAGAAGCATCTAGTATTATCCGCTAGTGGAAACAGGATGATAGAATAGATGGATTCTTAGTCTTTTTATGTTATGGTTTAGTCTACACTGAGGGTCTCAGTCCAATAGATGGAAGGATTGGGGCTACATTGAAAGCATCTGAGTTTCCAAAGGAGAGGTCATACACAATCCAAGTTTCTGTTTTAAAAAATGGTTGCTTGCTTTACCTGTTTCCATAACTGTTAGTTCATCTAGGAATTGACTTGTGGCCATAGGACCATTCCAGTTCTGCTGACCAGGAAATAAAAAAAGATGATACTCCATCTCACTTTTAAAAAACTGCTCAGACAGAAAGATGTGTAGAGGTAGCAAGCTATTTGCATCTTCCCTAGCAGATGCCTACTCTACTTTTGGAAAGCTTCCCCTACATTTTGAGAGCTGTAGCTCAAGAACCCTGGTGTGATGGCCTGGAAATCCGATTCAGAGGCTGAACCGGAGGAACCCCAGCCTGCACAGGAGTCCCCGCCTCCAGGGCTGGCTGAGCTGGGGTAGGGCCTTGGATCTGAAGCGCCTGCACCTGTGCCGGATCCTCAGGAGCAGGCGCCAGGTGAATCCACTCTGGCTCCGGAGGTGATTGAGGACACAGTGCCTACAGGTGCGCCTCTCCTGGCCCTGTCAGGGGAAGGTGAGTCTCCCCCTGGGTCCAGTAACCCTCCAGCCTCCCCTGAGCTGCAGAGGCTCAGGGCAGAGAGGCAGAGGGAACTGGTTTCTCCCAGGAGGAGTGCTCGCCTTAAGGCCAGGAGAGGCGGGTCTCCTGGGGGCCGGGGCCGCCCCTGGCCTCAGAGAAGATAAAGGCCAGTCAGCCCAGTCCCAGGTTGCGGGAGCAACGTCATTGAAGAGCTGTTTCAGCCAGCACCCAGACCTGTTCCTCCAGAGTTCCCGTTCTTGCCTGGCTCCTTGCTTTGGACCCCGCTCTGCCCTTGGAGGACAGACTACAGACCCTCGACCCAGGACCCTGATCTTGCCTCTCGGTAACCTCCCACCCCCCCTGGGACTAGCACACCTGGTGTTTTTACTGAAGGACCACTCTGCCCTGTCTCATCCCTGAAATAGCCGGCTGTCAAGTTCCATTGTCATAGATACTGCTCATCCACACCCCTATTTTGACAACTGGGAACAGGACAGATAGGGGACAAAATTTGGTTTGAAGGCTGCCAACTCTAAGATGACTCAAAGCAATTATTTTAATATATTTTTCTTACCACAGCTATATCAACCGTGTTGAGGAGAAATATACTTTTCAAGTGAAATGTCACAGTCATGTCCTTACTGCTTGGATATCATATTTAATTTGTCAAGAAACATAATGAATTCAGCATTGGGAGCAGATTGCAACAATTACCTTTTTGCCTGCATATATTCCCTTTGCCATCAGAAATAGCTCTGATGGTATTTCTTTTTCATTTCCTTTTCAGCACACTTGAGTAATGCAGCTTTATTTTTGCAATGGGCATAGTGGCCTTCATATTTACATATTATATCGTTTTTACAAGGGAAGACTAGGAGGGTTTTGGAGGAAATCTTACTACTCAGGAACCCGAGGTCATGCACAGCTGTGGCACAATTAGATTCTGTCTTCAAAATACAGTACATTTTTAAAATGTATTTTGTTACATTTATACCCTGCCTTTTTGTGACTGTGGAACCCAAAGTGGCATGTATGTGTGCTTCTCATGAGAACTCCAAACTCCAAACAGACGAGATGCAGACCTGTTTAGCAGCAGCAAAATTGTAGCCTCATTTCCTTGAGACCAGACCTCAAGATTGAGAAAGGTAAGTTTGTGGGAATCCTCTGTAGAAAGAGGTATTTTACACTAATCAGTACTGCCTCTAACAATCTATTATGGTAACATGTATGAACTGGAAAGAGGTTATGCAGACCAATCAAAAAGAATCTTACCCACCATATCAAGCCACATGTTGTGGCTTTTAAAGTGTTTATCAACCATATTTTCTGGCAACAAAAATGAGCCACCATTCATTGCTTGGCATGCCACAAGCTGTTCAGGCTTGCAAGACTTTACTGCAAAATTACTGCAATAGTGTATCATTCCTTTGTCCCAGTATGGCCATAATTTTGTCAAATGGTTAAATTAACCTGTGGCAGGCAGTGTGTGGTTAACAACTGTATGAAAGTTTCATTCTGCTAGGGCCATAAGCATAAGACAGAATTCTTTTTATGTCAGAGTGGTTTAATGTATACACCACTAGAGGGTACTGTTGCATATTTACATAAAAGATAAACTAATATATGCATTTTGTTTGAATTTTTTAAAAAAAACTGATTTAGCCAGAAACTTATTGATAAAATGTTTAATTCAAGTAATGAGAGAAGAGAGGAAAAGGAAGGGTCTTGAATTCAAAATGGAAACCCAGGATTGAATCATGGTGCCAATTTGTCACATGTCAGCATCAGAGTTGAGACAATACCCACTGAAATAAACTACATGATCGATTGAGCTGTCATCTGACTGTTCTGCCAGTTACTCTGTTTGCTCTTCAGCACACAATGAGCAGGATGAGTGGAAAAGCAGGCAAATAAGAAAAATAAGGGAAGGTACCAATAACAGGGTAGAATGGGGTGTGTGTGTATGTGTGAGTGTGACAAAATCTCAAAGGTATAAAGAATAAATATTTTATTCATCCAGTACATTGTAAAGTATATTTCTTCTTAAGGGACACACTTTGTTTTGTTACAGAACACACTAGAGAATACAGTAGTCTTGCTGTTAAGAGCCCCGAGGAAGAATATACATTTTAAACACATTGGGCCCATAACACCTGAAAGATTTCATCTCTTTCGCCCCACTTTTTCCCCAAAACAGGCAAATAAATCCTTTCAAATTCTTAAGCTTAAAAAAAAATGATATTTCAAATCAATCTAGAGCCATCCCCTTTCCACAACCTTGATGTTGTGGCTAGGCAATTAAAGAAAACTCACCTTTGCTATTGAAGCTGATGCTGCTTAATATTAAAAATAATTGTTTTGTGGCCTACACAATACAGTGAGATGGCACTCCTGGAAGGGTGAGTCATTTAAGAGATTTGAATTTACGTAATTTTCAAAACTTTTGACACTTTCAGATCTAAAAATGCTATTAAAAATAAATATTCACCCTAGATTATGGATGTTCTGTATTATTGTTAAAGCCATGTTATAGCAAGAAAGTTTGAAAATATGGCACCAGTATATATCCTTCCCCCAAATCTCATTATCCGATACTGATGGTATCTTAATCTGAAGGGTGTGTGTCTTGTTTCCTGTGGTTTTAGCCACTGTATGAGAGGTAGACTTATGACAAGGGTCCCGTCCCCCCTAGTAGTAAGCATGTTCCCCTTTGAACTTGTGCATGTTGTGCACCTGCTAACATCATGGAAGTCCCTCTTTTAAAAAGGTGGCAACCGGATTCCTCAACATTTTATGAATTTGCCTTGTAATTTTTAAAACTATTTGAATAAAAATAGTAACAATAGTGACTATGTTTCTCCTTATTTTGCTAAATGATTTAATTTGGCACTGACTGGCAGATAATGTGAGATACAATAACACAATTGTTGGTTTGTGGTTTCATTTCTTGTTTTACACAGAAGTATGAAAACAACTTCCTAGATTGAAAAAAAACAAAGAAAAAAAAAGTTGTTGAGTTTGGGTTTTATTTTAGCTTTTTACAGGCAGCATCTTTGCTCTTCGCGTTTTCCCTTTATTTTTAACGTGGGTCTCACAGGCCGAGGGTCTTTGAGATGACCTGTTGCCAGTGGCAACAATCTAGCGCTCTCCGGGCTCGGTGCTCGATCACCAGGACTGGGTTTTCCCCGGTCGTGGCGCTGAGGGAACAGGCCGGCGCGTTCCATCTCTCTCTTCTTCTCGGCTCTCGGCTAGTCGTGTCTGTCCCGCGCTCTAAGTGTTGTTTTCACGGAGGCAAGATGGCTGCGGCGGTGGCCGGGGCCGCCTTACTGGGCAAGGGGCTGGACATCAGCCTGGCGGCACTGCAGCGGCACGACCCCTACATCTGCAGCATCGTAGACGTGGCCAGCCAGGTGGCGCTCTACACTTTCGGGCACCGAGCCAATGAGTGGGTGAGGAACCGAATGTCATCGCGGGGTGGTGGGTGGTGTTGGTGGTGGTGGGGAAATGGGGCAGAGATGGAATAAAGCACCTGCCACTTTAAATCAACCAACGTCATCCTCGCGCCGTAAATTCTGTAGTGCAGGGGCGGCGGGGCTGGCGAAACCGTTGTTAAAGCGTCTGCGCAGTTGAAACTTGCTGGGAGACACTTTCCCTGGCTTTTTAACTTGTTCTTCCGCTCATGCGCTTTAAGCGGCTTGATGCGTGACTGCAGCCCGGGCAAACAGGGCGGAAGGGGAGGATGGGCGAGTAAACCATGACATCTAGACATAGCTGCCAACTTTTTTTAATGGAAATTCCCTTATTCCGAATAGGATTCCTCGCAAGAAAAGGGGAAAGTTGACAGCTATGCATCTACAGCAGGTCGATACCGAGCTTGCTTGCATTTATAGGACTAACCTCATAATGAGTTTACCTGGAGAGGACAGTAATATTGGAGATGCTTGGGGAGAAACTAAGGCTGCAGTCCTGGTGTCCTATACTCACTTGGGATTAATTCCCGTTGAAATTAATGTGGCCTACTTCTGAGTACAGTGGTACCTCAGGTTACATACTCTTCCCGTTACATACGCTTCAGGTTACAGACTCCGCTAACCCAGAAATCGTGCTTCAGGTTAAGAACTTTGCTTCAGGATGAGAACAGAAATCGTGCTCTGGCGGCGCGGCGGCAGCAGCAGCGGGAGGCCCCATTAGCTAAAGTGGTGCTTCAGGTTAAGAACAGTTTCAGGTTAAGAACGGACCTCCGGAACAAATTAAGTATTTAACCTGAGGTACCACTGTACTGTATAGGCTTGTGCTTAGCTGGGACTGTACCCCAGTGAACACAGTGGAGCTTACTTATGGGTATACAGTACATTGACAGGATTGCATTGTTTATCTACTTTTAATTAGTGTTTGACCAGATCTAAGAGAAACAGCTACTTGGGCCAGCATGCTCAAAATGCAGTGTGCAATGCTGCTGCTGCTTCTCCCCTGGGCTGGCTGCTTGGTTTGGTGCTAGTAGGTACTGGACTGAGACAAGCAGCTCCTTGAAGCAACAGCTCCTTGGGCCACTGTGCCCATCAAAGGGTGTGCAAAGCTGCAGTAGCTGCCTCCTTTGTCTCCTCAAACTGCCTGGCTATGATCGCCCAGTTTAGCACAGCAAAGACTAGACCCAGGTGCAGCTCCCTGGCCAGCATGCCCAACAAAAGCAGCTTGCAGTGGTTCCAGACAGGCCAGTGCAGAGGGCAGGGGGTAGCTGGGTACATTTGTCCTGAGCTTTGGAGGGCTACGCTGGCTTGGGTCCTCCACCAGAGGCCTGCTGGTGACACTGTCTTGCCAAGAATGTGCCTCCCAGCCGACCGGGGACTTAATGGGTGAAACGACCATGGGTGAAGCACCCATGCCTGTGAACCTGCGTTACTGCATACTAGTGTGTAGTGTCAGATCAGATTTGGTGCCCCTGCCTCAGTGGCACATCGTATGAAAAAGGCTCCTTCCCTGGGCCTCAGACAAGCCTTGCATGGGCCTGTTGCCAGACGTCTCTTCATGCTCTGTGGACTGGCTGCTTAGTTTAGTGAAGGCACACAAACATAGCTCTGGTTGTCCTGGAAGTTCAGAGTTTTCTTTTTTTTAAGGAGGTTGGCCAGAATGATGCCTGGGCAGTATACTGGACAGTAGCATATTACGCGTTGGCAGTGAGACCTTATGGAAGCGTGAGCCCTCAGCAATTTACTAGCCATGCAGACTCCTGATGCCAGCCCTGCTGTAGCCATGGTACAGTATATGTTTAGAGCCTAGATTGCATGAAAATGGAGTTTCACATTCTCCAAAAATACAGAGATAATCTTGCTTTATTTTCCACTCAACAAAAATTCAGTGTCTGCTCTTGCTTCAGCCACAGTAGGGCAATTTGGATGAAGTGTCTAATATGACCCTGGCAAACAGGATTGTTAGTTTAGGAAAGGAGGCATTTTCTACCCCAAAATGGGAAAGCAGCTGTGTTATGACAAATGAGCTGGCATCTGGGCCTAATTCTTCATTGAAAAGGCCTGTTTCATATGTTATGTTTCTAGTGCATATATACAGAGCACATGTTAAAACGGGGGGAGGGGGGAGAGGAATACTGTAAATGTGTGCTTAGAAAAATGCATACAGTGATTTAAAAGACATGTATATACCAGAAAGCCAGTGTTCAATTGGTGCTTTAAAATCACATTTCATCACTTGTAACATTTGAAACAGCCCCCAATTTTGTCGTTTGTCTGCTTATGCTTTGCACTAATTTACTTAGGTGGCTTTTATTCTGTCTTTAAAATTATGCATTTTTAATTGATTTTAGGAAAAGACTGATGTGGAAGGAACACTGTTTGTTTACACAAGGTGGGAATTTTATTAATTTTAATATCAGTGTTTTAAATTCACACCATTCTCATACTACAAAAAAGAAGCACAGAAAAGTGATATCGTTGACTGGATCAAGAGGTACAAGTTTTTGAATTGCATGAAACTCTTCATCACTTATGAAGGTTGAAAACATAAATTGGAAATTAAAGATACTTGGTCTGATGTTAACATGATGTGTAGAATTATTATTATTTTTTAAATACTGCAGATTGATGAACCTTGCTGAAGAGAGTGACTCCCCATACCTTTCTCCTAAGATAATAAGGCAGTGAAAAACTTATAACAAGGTGTAAGGAGGAGGTTTCTGTGCAGACTAAACAAAGTATCAGGCAAATATTTCCGATGTCAAAGTTTTATGATACCGCACCCTCTTTTAAACTTACTAGATCTTCCTTACAAATAATATTTAGAACTTTTTTATATATTTCCTATATTTTTTTAAAAATGAACTAAATAATAATAAAAATAAGAACAATGTGAAACACAAGCTTACTACTACTAGTAGTAATAAATTGTAATTGTTTAGGGTTTTGAAAGTGCTAAAAACCCTGTAAGGAAGGTCAGTACAGTCGTACCTTGGTTTTTGAACAGCTTAGTTCTTGAAAGTTTTGGCTCCCGAATTCCGCAAACCCAGAAGTGACTGTTCTGATTTGCGAACTATTTTTGGAAGCTGAACGGCCAATGGGGCTTCCACAGCTTCCAATTGGCTGCAGGAGCTTCCTGCAGCCAATCAGAAGCCACGCTTTGGTTTCCGAACATTTTGGAAGTCAAACGGACTTTATTGTGTTGTTATTCTTGTATAGCCTAAAGGCAGTTGAGACCAAGAAAACAGGGCTTGCCTACAGAGTAATACCTGGCAAGTTGATTCCAGAGATTTGAACCGAATATTTTCCAGTTCAAATTCATACATTCCACAATTCAGACTGTTAAAAACCACTTCAGACTGTCAAAAAGTAAAATGAGGAACAGAGATAAGAGAGTATTTTTCTGCATCTATTTCTGGAAACCATTTTATAAAGACAGTTTTATTTATAACCTGCTGGTGCTGCAAGTTAGGGGAGAAATAAGTGTGTTTTTTAAAATGTTGAAAGTAAGCCTTCTGTTAGGAATAAAAGTAAAATGAACTGAACAAACGAATCTTATAATTCTCTGATTATCATCATGTTTGCTGCTTTCTATCACTTCCACCCTTTGTTTCATTTTCTGTCACCTCCCTTCCTGTAATGCACATTCCTTGTGGCTTCAGGGTACAGAGACATCCTTAGAGGACTACCAAACTTGGAATGTCTCCCACACATTAAGCCAGTGTCTTTTCACTGGTATCAAACACAGTTCAAAATTGGAACATTCTACATGTACCCATTTTAATAACCGTGTGTTGAAAAGGTTAAAAAAAGGCAAAGGTTAAAAATGGGAATGAAGGCCCTCTGTGTAGCAAATTTCCTTAGTGTGCCCATTCTTGCTTCATCATAAAAAGGAAGTTATAATGTAAAGAGTCCAACTAATACGACACTGTTAAAGTGGAGCAGGCCTCTGATGGTTAAAGTGTACGTTTGGGCACAGTGCTTTGTATGCACAAGAGATTCAGATATTTTTAAAAACTGTTCTTTCATACATTAGTTTTTAACTAGCTGAGCTCTTGTTGGGAGCACTGTTGCTTAGCCCTCACAAACTGTTATCTTTTGTATTTAAATAATAATAAGGTAACTGCAGGTAAACTGCAGAAGCAGTGAATTAAAATAAGATATGTAAATTTCTAAAGTAGTAGAGGAGAATATTGATTATAACAGTGAGAGGGTGCCGTTCTAAGAGGAAGAGGTGTCTGACCTGTACTGAAGTTGGTAAAAAAATAAAAATGCTGCCCCCCCCCCAAAGCCAAGTCTTTGCTTAGGCTTTCAGATACTTTAGTAAAAAATATAGCCATACGTGTAGAACAAAGTGTTTTAAAATATAATTTCATTCAGTTATTTTTCATTGACTGTGGAGGCCTTTATTTCTGATCGTTTTTCAGATCAGCTTCACCGAAGTATGGATTCACTATTATGAATAGGCTGAGTATGGAAAATCGGACAGAACCCATAACTAAAGACCTGGATTTCCAGTTGCAGGACCCTTTTCTGCTTTACAGAAATGCCAGATGTGAGTAACACTTTCGTGCATTAACTAAACTCATTCTTGGGGTTGAAGTATGCTTCTTCCAAGCTGCTTCTTGAAAATCTCTGTGGAAATTTTCAAAACTTGAAAAAGTAGTTTTAAAGTTTCTTACTTTTCAAGAAAGCAGTTGAAAATCCTGGATTGGCTGCACTAGCGAGTTCTCCAAGGGAAACTCCATATCCAGCTATTCCTTGAAGAGACTTGCAAAGGGTCGATCAGTGGCACTTCAAAGCACTGCAGAGGGTTATTTGCAAGCACCCAGGATGGTGCTTTGGTGTCCTGACTTTTGCTAGGACTTCAAAGCGCTCCATCATTTGATGTCATTGTGATGTCAGGTGACTGCTATGAGAGATAGGGTATATAAGGATACGGCCTGTAGCCAGATCCAGTTCTCCACCCCTGTTGTATAGCAAGTTCCTGGGTTCTCTAGCACAAGCAAGAAATGGGTATGTTCATACAGGTGGGCTCAATAACTCCCATTGAGATATGTGATAAGCTCATGTTTATAGCAGCAAGGGCTTAATCAGTGATGCTGATAGCTTTCTAGTGGTCTCAGTTTATAGGTATTTGTTTGAAGGATTTTTACTCTGCTCTTCAGCTGATAAAGGTTCCCATTTGTCCTGAAGGATGACTGTGTTGCCTTGGCTGCCTTCTAACGCTGACGAGGCTGGATGCCTCAGGCTGCTGATTTTAGATGTCACAAAAGGGTATCAAATTGTTAGTTATTCTAATTACTATTATTATTATTATTATTATTATTATTATTATCAGTAGTAGTAGTAGCCACGTATTTTTACTGCCAGGAAAAGGTTCTAATGGGATTTTCTGCCTCGGGTGCCAAAATAACTTTGCTGGCCTTGGGTACTAGGCCCTCTGACTTGTCGGGGTGTATGGGGTGCAATTTATTCCTCCTCAGGGAGGAAAATGTCTTGAGCCAGTCTTTATCGTGACAATGAAATTTTGTTAGTACACCAGCCATGTGTCTTATCCAGCAACCCAACCTACAGAATAGTCTGCATGAGTCATGAGCAGGCTTGCCAAAATAATGAGACAAGCGCTAGTTTAGAACCCCATGGTGGGAAAAGCAGTGACGGGCATTTGGGCAGAGAAGAAGCAGGGAGTGGGAAAAGTATATACTCCTCCCCCCCGCTTCAAATTTCCCTGTCCCATGCCTGCCTGCTGGCCTGCCTGCCTTTTAATGTGGCATTAGGGCTCGTTTAAACAATATTTGCATGTAATTTGTAGTTAGTAGTTCTTTATGTAACACTAGCATCTAGCAACCCTGAACAGCTTGTAGTTCTGTTGTGCTTTCACAAATGCATATTAATAAACAATCCATCTGCCTAAGAGATTACAGCATTCTCTAGGTTTTAAATACCAAATTAGACTCATAGGCATAACAAACACTTGAAGAGGATGAGAAAAGCTGGGTTGTTTTCTGTTGTGTTTGTACACATATGGGTTACCCACATCATATAGTGATATCAAGGACTGATTTTTCTCTTCCAGTTCACATGTTGGCCTTGAGGAAATGTGGTGTCCCAAGAACTCTTTAGAAAGCAGCGATTCTGTACACTTGGGAATCGGAGCACTTTTGGACATGGAACCAATGCAGATGCAATCTTTATGCTCCCTCTTTCCCATAGTTGAATGCCTGATTTGCCCTCCACAAATCTCCTCTCCTCTCTTGGGCAGAAATGCTACCCTTGCTCTTAATCATGGTTAAAGGAATTAAGCACTAATCATAAACAGGGATCAGCCTGGATTTGAAACCATACAGCGAAGGTAGTCATATAAATAAGCCCATAAGTTATTAACCTATTGCAGCTGGCACAGGAAGGGTGGAGAGCAGTAGCAGACAGCGTGGTGGAATGGCACTTCTCATCCGACCTGTCAGTTGCATTGCTGCTGCTGGCACAGGAAGTAGAGGGGGAGGGAAAAGGTCCATTGTTGGAGACAAATCTGGCACTCCTGCTGGTGAATTTGCAACACACTGAACTGGCTTCCACCTTGTCTCCTCCCCCTCTACCTCCCTTTAAGCATTGGTGATGTGACCAACTGGAGGTTGAGTCAGTCACCATAACCATGCTGACCTCAACTGATGAGGAGCTCTGCCCCACTTGCAATAGCTTGATGTGTGTGTCAAAGGGTAGTGTTTAAATATAAGGCTGTTTGTTTGTTTGTTTGTTTGTTTGTAGTAGTAGTAGTAGTAGTAGTAGATGACAGCATATTTAAACAGCAAACTATTCAGCAAAATAAAGTGAGATGCCTTAGGTCAATTAGTGAGCAAAATAATATAAGACAGCAACATTGCATCACAGGAGGGCCAGAGAAAATCCTCCTCCAAAGCTAGAGGATTAAAGGAATACTGTCACCAATTCTCTATCTCACAGTCTTAGTGGGTAGAAATCTGACATACCATGAGAAATAAAAAATAAAGAAACAGAAAGCTAGTGTTCCCAAACTAGAATAATACAGAGTGCTCTTGACACCACCCCATGCCAACTATTAGTATCACAACACAAAGACTCTTAACTTTCTGCACTGCTTCCTGTCCCAGCCATCCCATATTTAAATAGCAAAAGGAAGAAGAGAGAAGTTTGTGCCTCTCTTTGTCTTTAGGGACGCCTGCAATGCATTCTGAACCATTGCTTAACCTTCGTCTCCTCCTTACATCATGCCAGTGGCTATTGCAGCACTGTTCCTTCCTATGCTGCTGATGTGAGAATCCCTGGGCCACATCAGAAGAGCTTGTTTTGCGCCTCCTCCCCATGCTAGTGTTATCCCAGATTCCAGAGAGTGCAGCTACTTACGGTGTTTCCTCCCTCACCCCTTTTTATGCAATGCTGGGCTTTGTCTGAAAACCAGGGGCCATAATGCCTCCATCACAAGTGAATTTATAAGGTATTAACACCAATAGTTGAGAGCGATTGGGAAGGAAAGAGGAGTAATGTTTGCCAGCTTTGTAAAACAAGCCCTCGAAAGTTACTAGCCTTCAAACATTTTTACAAGTGTGCTGGGGGCTAACAAAGGCAGAAGAGAGAGACACATTTCTGCTGCGCTCTTTCAGCTGCCTGTTTCGTTTCACATTAAACACATAGGAAGGACAGAGGGCTCCATCCCTCCTTTCCCAGTCTGCTCACTTCCTTGTATGGAATTCCTGGTTGCCGATGGCTACCGAACTGATTCTTAAATGCAAGGCTGGGCTAAGGCATGTGAGACTTGGCTCAAATTAAGCTCTTATCTGCATAGCTTGGCATTACTGTTGTTCTGACTAAGTGTGCACATGTGCTGTTGCCATGGATAATCTTGGTGTCTTTTTCTGGAGCATGCAAGATCAAGGCTGAGAACAAAATAACTGCTACAGTTGTAGAAGAACAAGAAGTAGAAAATTCCTTCCCCTCCTTGTTCTGTAAAAAGCATTCATTTCTGTTCCTTTTGCTTGCCATCTGGGTAGGAACCCTGGACATTATGACACCCTTAACCAGCCAACATCAGCAGTGGTTTTTGTCTGCCATGTCATCTGTTCCTCTCAAATCTTCAGTCTTCTCTAGATCTCGTTAGAGTGGACTATGAATAGCTGTTAGGGACGCGGGTGGCGCTGTGGGTAAAAGCCTCAGCGCCTAGGGCTTGCCGATCGAAAGGTCGGCAGTTTGAATCCCCGCGGCGGGGTGCGCTCCCGTTGCTCGGTCCCAGCGCCTGCCAACCTAGCAGTTCGAAAGTACCCCCAGGTGCAAGTAGATAAATAGGGACCGCTTACTAGCGGGAAGGTAAACAGCGTTTCCGTGTGCGGCTCTGGCTCGCCAGAGCAGCGATGTCACGCTGGCCATGTGACCCGGAAGTGTCTCCGGACAGCGCTGGCCCCCGGCCTATAGAGTGAGATGGGCGCACAACCCTAGAGTCTGTCAAGACTGGCCCGTACGGGCAGGGGTACCTTTACCTTTTACCTTATGAATAGCTGTTATAGCAAGTCTCGTTATAAAAAATTAGGAAACAAAATGTTTTGAAGTAAAAGTATGAGCCATCTGAGCTGAACTACTTTTTAAAGTCCCATTTGATTTCAGTAGGACAAAACTAGCCATGCATTGAACTTCCCCCCTCCCTGAGATCAACGGGACTTGAAAGTGCTTGATTTTAGCTCAAAAGTCCCTGGGTGAAAATGTGATTGATAATTGAACCTGTTCACATCTCCATACCCATTGGATACTTGCTAAAATATGTTGACTATTCTAGTTCATCCTCACATAATGGCCCAGTTCGGAATATATTATCTCAGCTCCTTTGCTCCTCCCTTCGTGGCATGAGCCAGGAAGTATCTAATTAACTACAGTGTTCATTTTTGTCTAACCATGGGTTGTCATCCTGGTCCCTACTGCCCACTAGTGGGCGTTTCAGGATTCTGGGTGGGCGGTAGGGGGTTCTACGGCACAAGCTGAATCCTCCTTTCATTGAGCACTGGTGGGCGGTAAGGAAATTTTACCATCAAGAAAGATGCATTAGTGGGCGGTAGGTATAAAAAGGTTGACTACCCCTGCTCTAAACTGTGGCTGCCAGCTGTGTCTGAACTCTAAATTTCCAGCTTTGGAACAAGCTGGGATCTATGGTTGAGGATGCTGACGTATTCCAAAGCTGGCAACCATAGTTTCCCAGTATAGATGGAACAAGAAATTGTGGTTGATTTCAGACTTTCTGGGTAGATGGTTGGCACTGTGAAGGAGCGAAGGGGCTGTTTGCATGGGCAAAAGGCTTGTTCATATCTTGCCTTAATAAGCCACACTATGATGGTCCAAACACAACTTTGCTTTTAAATACTTAAAATAATTGTTTGCTATTTTTCTTAAACTGGATGCTTTCCCCTCCCTACCCCTCCAATTCAAAAGTAGTTCTATTCTAGGGGTAAATACACTTCATAACCTCAGCTGTAATCAGGCATAGATTCAATAATAGTTATTTGCTTGGACTAGCTAACTATAGCCTAGAAGCAA